TGTTGTTGTTCATTCGTTCAGTCGTCTCCGACTCTTCGTGACCTCATGGACCAGCCCACGCCAGAGCTCTCTATACAGCTAATATTATGTAATATAGTATTATATTGAATATCTTATATGAGGTTGTTTAAACTCTGGTTTAGTTGTTACACTAAATTACTGTGTCACAAAAGGATGCATGTCTAAAAAGTGTTTCACCAACATGAAAAGTCTGGAAAGCTCTATCTGGGAAACTCTCTTTGGTGTCAAACACCACTGTTCTCTCCAGTGTGGATTCTATGTCTATGTAGATTTCTACTCTCAGAAAAGCTTTTCCCACACATGATGTGTTTACAGGGTTTCTGCCCAGTGAGTCCTTTGATGTGAACGTAGATTTGAACTCTGAGTGAAGCTCTTTCCACACTCCAGGCATTTATAGGGTTTCTCTCCAGAGTGAGTCCTTTGATGTGAATCTAGATTTGAACTCTGAGCAAAGCTCTTTCCACACTCCAGGCATTTATAGGGTTTCTCTCCAGTGTGAATCCTTTGATGTGAACGTAGATGTCCACTCTTAGTAAAGCTCTGCCCACACTCCAGGCATGTATAAGGTTTTTCCCCAGTGTGACTCCTTTGATGTAAACGTAGTTTTCCACTCGTAGAGAAGCTCTGCCCACACTCCAGGCATATATAGGGTTTCTCCTCAGTGTGAATCCTTTGATGTAAACGTAGACTACCACTGTGAGTGAAGCTCTTTCTACACTCCAGGCATGTATAGGGTTTCTCCCCAGCGTGAATCCTTTGATGTGAACGTAGACTTCCACTCTCAGTGAAGCTCTTCTCACACTCCAGACATCTATAGGGTTTCTCCCCAATGTGAATCCTTTGATGGGAACGTAGACTTCCACTCCTAGTAAAGCTCTTTCCACACTCCAGGCATTTATAGGGTTTCTCCCCAGTGTGAATGCTTTGGTGTTTATGTAGAACTGAACTGTGAGCAAAGCTCTTTCCACACTCCAGGCATGTATAGGGTTTCTCCCCAGTGTGAATCCTTTGATGTGAACTTAGATCTGAACTTCGAACAAAGCTCTTTCCACACTCCAGGCATGTATAGGGTTTGTCCCCAGTGTGAATCCTTTTGTGTCTATGTAGATTTCCACTTTTAGTGAAGCTCTGCCCACACTCCAGGCATGTATAGGGTTTCTCCCCAGTGTGAATCCTTTGATGTGAACGTAGACCTGTACTCCCAGAGAAGCTCTGCCCACACTCCAGGCATGTATAGGGTTTCTCCCCAGTGTGAATCCTTTGATGTCTACGTAGACCTGTACTCTCAGTGAACCTCTTTCCACACTCCAGGCATGTATAGGGTTTTTCCCCAGTGTGAATCCTTTGATGTGAACGTAGATTTCCACTCTCAGTGAACCTCTTTCCACACACCAGGCATGTATAGGGTTTCTCCCCAGTGTGAATCCTTTGATGTGAACGTAGATTTCCACTCGTAGTAAAGCTCTGCCCACACTTCAGGCATGTATAGGGTTTCTCCCTCCTGTGAATCCTTTGATGTGAAAGTAGATTTCCACTCGTAGTAAAGCTCTGCCCACACTCCAGGCATGTATATGGTTTCTCCCCAGTGTGAATCCCTTGGTGTTTATGTAGATGTCCACTCCGAGCAAAGCTCTTTCCACACTTCAGACATGTATAGGGTTTCTCCCCCGTGTGAGTCCTTTGATGTAAACGTAGATTACCACTCCGAGCAAAGCTCTTTCCACACTCAAGGCATGTATAGGGTTTTTCCCCCGTGTGAGTCCTTTGATGTCGCTTCAGATCACCCCTCTGAGTGAAACTCTTCCCACATTCCAGGCATATGAATGCTTTCTCCTTCATGTCAGCCATGATATGGGTGATTGTAATATAGATGCTTCAGTCTTCTTGTTTCTTTCCTTTACTGTACGCGAGGTCAAGATTTCAACAAGACCCTCACCTAGAGAGAAGTTCTTCTTCCTATACTATTGATTTCATTGCTGCATCCAAGGGGTGGCTCCATGGAATCCTCATTTCCCTGGTTAAGAAAGAAGCAAAAGATAAAGGATGGAGGCGAGAAACTTCCTGTACCTCCACGATTTCCCCCTTTCTCTTTATGGGTCATGTTGAAAATGGAAACACCCAGAAATGCAAACATCATGGTCTTCAGAGGTTCTGTTGGACAACGAAGCAAGTGGAGTGTCTCTATCCCTGTGGAATAATGTCCAGGGTGGGAGAAAGAACCATTGTCTTCTTGAAGCATGTGTCAATGGCCCAGCATTTCTGCATTTCAAATAAGATTCTGTGTCCAGCATTCAGAAACGGGAGAACTCCAGACAGCAAACAATCAGGTGCCAACTAACACCACCCAAACAGAGGGTTCCTCCAGGCAACAGAGGCCAGGCCGCCTCTCTGCAGATATCCTCACTGATTGATTCTGCAGATTTCATGGCTACTCCAATGCTAATTTAAGCTTGTTCACTGCAACGTTCACCCTTGCTTCTGTCAGGATTATTGAGGTATGCATGTGTGTTTTTCAATGTGTTTCTATGTAATTCAAGATGGATTAAGATGTGTTTCAAGATGGATTCTATTATGTTCAATTGTGTATTAGAAATACTGTGAGAAGCAGAGAGAAAAGTAACCTTGACAGAAGTGAGATAACAGGTTCTCTGGCTGTGGGAAGAAGAAGGAGTATCCGGTTACAGCCAGAGGTCTGATAAGCAGATGTTCTGAAACTGTTTATGCTGTGCTTTGTAGTTCTTGATGACAGCCCGCTAAGAATGGACGTGTATAGATGTGCTTAGTAAACTTTTGTGTTTTTTGTAACTGCAAAACAGCAGAGTCCTGATTTTTGGAGTCCTGTGTGTTGATCTAGCAAGCTCTTCCGCTGCGCATATACCCCCAAATTCTCTGACAGCTTCAAACAAACAAGGGTTCTTTCTCCCGCCCTGGATATTATTATATTAATATATACACTATTCCACTTGCTTCATTGCGAACAGAAGCTCTGAAGGTGCCATTAGCCACAGATGCAGGCAAAACTTCAGGAGAGAATGCTGCTGGAACATGGCCAAAAATGTACAGCAACCCAGTGATTCCGGCCATGAAAGCCTTTGACAAAACATTATTAAAAACATGCCTCGTTAAGAGATATTTCTCTCCCAGGGGCCAGTTAAAGTTCTGCTAAAGGGTGAAAAATTGTAACTTTGCCAGTGGTCAGAGAAGCCTTTCAGAATCAGGAAACATTTGGGACCTTTTGGAGACCACTTGAAGGCTGAATTATGCCTTCCTTCTTTCCCTTTTTTTCCTTCTTTCTTGTTCTTTCTTGCCTTCCTCCTTGCTTAACCTGCAATATCATTGATCTATTATTGAGCCATGGCAATTAATAGGAGTAGTAGTAGTAGTAATAATAATAATAATAATAATACCAACAACCCTGGAGCTGTAGTTTTGCGAGCCCTTTCGCCTCTTCTGCCCAATAGTGTTGGCGCATTGCCAAACTACAAACGGGAGTGATTGCCATATTAATATATGTTTTAATTATCATATTTTTAACCATCATATTGTTTTTATTTATAACTAGCTGTCCCCTGCCAGGTGTTGCTGTGGCCCAGTCTGGTGATCTGGAAAATAAAGTAATGAGAAAGTGTTGGTTTCTAATATATGTAATTCCTTTTTGCTTGTGAGTAAACAGTATTTCTTGTTGTTTCTTTGTCAGTGTTGATGTGGAGAGTGCCTGGTTTGCCTCCTCTGGAATATGCAACATGTCATAGTACTTCTTTAAGGGTCTCTTTCAAATCTATGATACTATATCTGTGTGAGAGAGAGAATCGTATCTATCTATCTATATTTATGACTGGATGGCTCTTTGTCAGGAGGGCTCTGATTACATTTTCTTGCCCTGGTGAAGGGAGTTGGACTGGGTGGCCTTAAGTATTTTCTCTTGGTCATGGGGGTTCTGTGTGGGAAGCTTGCCCCATTTCTGTCGTTTGTGGGTTTCAGAATGCTCTTTAATTGTGGTGAACTATAAATCCCAGTAACTACAAATCCCAAATGTCAAGGTCTATTTCCCCAAACTCCATCTGTGTTCATATTTAGGCATATGGAATATTTGTGTCAAGTTTGGTCCAGATCCATCATTGTTTGAGTCCACAGTGCTCTCTGGATGTAGGTGAACTACAACTCCCAAACTCAAGGTCAATGCCCACCAAACCCTTTCAGTGTGTTCTGTTGGTCATGGAAGCCATGTTTGGTTCATTCCATCATTGGTGGAGTTCAGAATGCTCTTTGATTGTAGGTGAACTATAAATCCCAGCAACTACAACTCCCAAATGTCAAAGTCTATTTCCTCGAAACTCCATCTGTGTTCATATTTAGGCATATGGAATTTTTGTGTCAAGTTTGGTCCAGATCCATCATTGTTTGAGTCCACAGTGCTCTCTGGATGTAGGTGAACTACAACTCCCAAACTCAAGGTCAATGCCCACCAAACCCTTCCAGTGTGTTCTGTTGGTCATGGAAGTCCTGTATGCCATGTTTGGTTCAATTCCATCATTGGTGGAGTTCAGAATGCTCTTTGATTGTAGGTGAACTATAAATCCCAGCAACGACAATTCCCAAATGACAAAATCAATTTTTTTGAGTGGAGGACATAAATTGGACTGTTAGGTGTCTTGTGTTCAAATTTGGTGTCAATTCTCCCAGTGGTTTTTGAGTTCTGATGGTAGCATGAACTAACATTACATTTTTATTTATATAGATATGTTAATGTTATAAATAAAATAGTATTTTAAATAATATTATATTAGAGTGTCACCCATATTCATGAGCAACCTTCGTGAACCCTTTACATCTACTGAATTGGACATGGCTCTCAATAAATGTAAGAATGGCAAAGCAGCTGGCCTGGATGACATACGGATGGAACCAATCAAGAACTTTGGCCCAAAAGCAAACTTTGGCTGCTGGAGCTGATGAACAACGGCACGGCATCCTGTCAGATCCCCAAAATCTGGAAGAAAGCAAGAGTCATCGCCATCTTGAAGCCAGGCAAAGACCGTCATGACCCAAAAAGCTACAGACCAATCTCCCTGTTGTGCCACCTCTACAAACTTCTAGAGAGACTTATTTTGCATAGAACTATGGAATAAATAGACCCCTGTCTGATTCCACAGCAAGCTGGCTTCAGAAAAGGCAAAAGCTGCACATCGCAAGTGCTGAACCAGAACATGGAAGATGCCTTTGAAAGGCAGCAGATCACAGGAGCTGTCTTCACTGACCTGTCAGCGGCTTATGATACTGTGAACCACCACCGCCTCCTCCTGAGAAAAATATATAATATCACAAAGGATTACCACCTCACCCGCCTCATAGGAAACCTTCTACAAAACAGGAGCTTTTGGTTGAGTTCCAGGGCCAGAGAAATAGATGGCAGAAACAGAAGAACGGCCTGCCTCAGGGGAGCGTGCTTTCTACACAAATGACCAACCACCGCCAGAAGGGACAGAGGGTTTCATCTATGCTGATGACCATGCCATTACTGCTCAAGCAGGGAGTTTGAGATGGTTGAACAGAAGCTCTCCGAAGCTCTAGGTCAGTGTTTCTCAACCTGGGGGTCGGGACCCCTGGGAGGGTCGCGAGGGGGGTGTCACCAAGGCCATCAGAAAACACAGTATTTTCTGTTGATCATGGGGGTTCCGTGTGGGAAGTTTGGCCCAATTCTATCGTTGGTGGGGTTCAGAATGCTCTTTGATTGTAGTTGAACTATAAATCCCAGCAACTACAACACCCAAATGTCAAGGTCTATTTTCCCAAAGTCTACCAGTGTTCACATTTGGGCTTATTGAGTATTTGTGCCAAGTTTAGTCCAGATCCATCATTGTTTGACTCCACTATACTCTCTGGATGTAGGTGAACTACAACTCCCAAACTCAAGGTCAATGCCCACCAAACCTTTCTAGTATTTTCTGTTGGTCTTGGGAGTTCTGTGTGCCAAGTTTGATTCAATTCCCTCATTGATGGAGTTCAGAATGCTCTTTGATTGTAGGTGAACTATAAATCCCAGCAACTACAGCTCCCAAATAACAAAGTCAACCCCTCCCCCAACTCCAGCAATATTTAAATTTGGGTGTATTGGGTATTTGTGTCCAGTGAATGAAAATACATCCTGCATAGCAGATATTTACATTACAATTCATAACAGTTGCAAAATTACAGTTATGGTGTAGGAACAAAATAATTTTACGGTTGGGAGTCACCACAACATGAGGAACTGTATTAAGGGGTCATGGCATTAGGAAGGTTGAGAACCACTGCTCTAGGCGCTCTTACTGCCTATTACAGGGAAAACCAGCTGATCCCTAATCCATCTAAAACACAGACATGTGCCTTTCATCTCAAGAACAGACAAGCATCCCGAGCTCTGAGGATTATTACCTGGGAAGGAATCCCACTGGAGCATTGCAGCGCACCCAAATACCTGGGAGTCACTCTGGACCGTGCTCTGACCTACAAGAAGCACTGCCTGAACATCAAGCAAAAAGTGGGTGCTAGAAACAATATCATACGAAAGCTGACTGGCACAACCTGGGGATCACAACCAGACACAGTGAAGACATCTGCCCTTGCGCTATGCTACTTTGCTGCTGAGATGCATGCCCAGTGTGGAACACATCTCACCACACTAAAACAGTGGATGTGGCTCTTAATGAGACATGCTGCATTATCACGGGGTGTCTGCCCTACACCACTGGAGAAATTACACTGTTTAGCCAGTATTGCACCACCTGACATCCACCGGGAAGTAGCAGCCAATAGTGAAAGGACCAAGGCAGTGACGTCTCCAGCTCATCCCTTGTTTGGGTATCAGCCAGCACGT